TGATTTCAGTGAAGATTTGCATAGAGGTGAGAGAAGAAGACAGAAGACAGAAAGCAGAGAACACAGGATCAAACATAGGATAATTGGGATAGGACCTGGGAGAGAGAGCTGAAAATCTGGGAGCCTTTCTGGACATGCAAATCACTGTGTCTAGTTCTGGGCACCACAGTTTAAGAAGGTAGAAGGTGTGCAGAGGAGGGCGACCAAGATGATCAAGGGTCTGGAAACCAAGCCTTATGAGGAGTGGTTGAAGGAGCTGGGTATATTTAGCCTGGAAAAGAGGAGAGTGAGAGGAGATATGTTAGCCATCTTCAAATATCTCAAGGGCTGTCACATGGAAGATGGAGCGAGCTCGTTTTCTCCTGCTCTGGAGAGAAGGACTTGAACCAATAGCTGCAAATTACAAGGAAGGAGAGTCCAACTAAACATCAAGAGAACTTTCTGGCAGTAAGAGCTGTTTGACAGTAAGAGGTGTGGATCAGACTCCCATGAGAGGTGGTGGACTCTCCTTCCTTGGAGGTTTTTAAGCAGAGGTCATAGAAGCTTTAGCTGAGATTCCTGCATTGCAGGGGGTTGGACTAGATGACCCTTGGGTCCCATCCATCTCTACGATTCTATGTTCCTATGAAATGAATAAAAGAAACCGCTGGAGCTGTATCACAATATAGTCTCTTTCTATATTATTGTTGCAGGATGGAACTTGTATGCAGGCAGGACTGAAAACTCCCAAAAGGCATGAACTATTGATTTCAAATACAACCTTTATGAATTTTGACATTCCCAATTGCACTGCAATCGCCACCTGTTCTAGTTGTTACCAAGGTCAAGGTAAGATAGGCTTTCTGTGCAAAAAATATATATGTGGTTGTGGATTTAAATGTGGACTGTTCGGTGCCTGTGAACTGGTTTCCTTGTAGGGTCAAATAAGTGACCACAGCAGGCAGGGAATTCATGCTGGTGGCAGTGGAGGCTTCCCTGCCAATGCAAATAGCAGCCTTGGAGGGGAGAGGATTCAACTCCGCCCCCCATCCCCTGTGTTTCTGATCCTGCATGAGCTCAACTGAATTGGCTTCATGCAATCAAGGTCATGTCCAGTTTGACCCAACTGCAACTTCATAAAATAGGCAGGAAACATGGGGCAACAGAATAATGAGAAAAGGGACATGGAGTTAGTTGTACTATCTACAAACTGTACAATCTACAGACTGACAGCCTGCACAAAGTCCTATTTCATGTTTGTTTATTTTACCCTAAAGAGGTACTATCTTCTGTGCCCCACCTCAAATAATTGTAAGACCTCAACATTTGTTGAATGGGGCTTAAGCAGTGTCCTGAGATCCTGCCAATAATCTGGCTTTCTGAAATACTGTATATTTTTAAATGTTGTTCTGTCCATAAAAATAGCATACACTCATAAACAGCATTAAAAGCTGACTATAAATAATTTGAACACCAACTATCCTTAAATGCATCATTTCAGCATGCTATATTTCAATGAAACTGTGGCTTTAGGGAGAAATCCAACATGGCGCGATAACAAATGTCTCATCAATGCAAGCATTTCAGACAGAACAACCCTTCTCTTTCCCCCCTATGGGCTGTTCTGGGGGGAGGGCTCTCCCAAACCCCTCCCAAGCCAATTTGGGGGGTATGGGGGATGGAGAGAGGAGAAAGCCCCATTGCGTAAGCAGAAGTCCTTGTGCAGGCCGGGCATCCATGGACAGGATTCATTGGGCAAATCCCACCCTTAGTTTTGAGTAGGCACACAATGTCAATTTCATTGCAAATGCCATGCTTCAAATACATTTATCTCTATTTAACAACAGTGGATATGTCATAGATTTTCAGTATGAAGTAATACATGCCTTTAATAAACAAGTAAGCAATGATATATGAACGTATTCTTTCAATATCCCAAAATAATTCTGACCCCTCCCTGACTGAATCAGATTTTGTAGCTTGTTCATCAGTTATTAGCAACGAGACCATATTTCTCTCTCTCTGTCCCTACTTTACAGGCGGATTTGCTGTGAGGTCTGAACAAGTGCTACTTCTAAATGCCCCAAATTGGATATCGTTCCCATTTCCTCATTGTGCGATTCTTAAAGATCTAGATGGCACAATCACAGGGCAAAGGGGGAGCTTTCTCCTCCCTTCTGTGGATACACTTCCAGATTCCTGCTTGGCGAGTGTCAATGCCAGTCAAGTTGCCAGTGGCAGTCTTTGCCATGGAAATGTTACTTTCCACCGTATGTCTATTGGCCTGTAAGTATCGTTCTTTTCTCAAGTTCTTCATATAGCATGGGAGCTCTCAGATGGGAGATTGGGGAAAGATGTGGACTGCTCTGTAGAGTACATGGCACATCTAGGAATGTATGCGCATACACAAAGAACATCTCTTTCTCAAGATTGACGTCCCCTGGAATGCCCAATTATGTGTTTACATGATTCCCATATGCGAACAAGTGCATCCTTGTTTAAGGGTTGCAAAAAGTGGTGTGGCTGGAGATAGAACTTTTTGCATGCAGGGCAGACGTTCTGCTGCCAAGCTCCAGCAGGCACTGCCTCAGACGTAGCTGAGCCTTACACAAAGTGAGAGTGAAGATGAGCTACTAACTCTTGCTGGCCCAGAACAGACATGGGCCTTGGCAAATGTCTCTGAAAACTGCTGGCAGCAGTCCACATGCAGCAGGATCCAGTTTGGATTTGTATGTGCAAAACAGGTGTTCTCTGTGTAAAGTGCTCCTGGTGTATGTGCTCAGTGGAGGTGGGTGGAGGGCTAAAATTGTTGGGATGTGCCCAAGGGAATGGGGGCAATTGGCAGGCCCCCAGCTGGCTCCAGCCCACCGGCCAGTTGTCGGTCGAACTCCAGTCCTTAGTTCTGCATCAAAACTGTGACTCAGAGCTTCAGAAGCCTTTCAGAAGTTGAGCACCAAGCCAACAGAATAACAAACTCTTCGCGACGGAGGGGCGGACAGAGGCATATGTAAAGCATATTTACAAGCAGTTTATTTAGCATAGATCAGGACAAAGAAAACATGTCTGCTCTCCTTCACGTCCAAGCAAGAAGCAGCATAAAGCAAAAGCTATACACAAACGGAAGTTCCCAGCAAGCTGTGCTGGAATGTAAACAGACATGTGACATACAACAGCTCCACACATCTGTTTAGGTGGAACGGAACATCAATAGCCTAACAAAAATATCAGGTTAACTTGGTGAAGCAATTGATTTCAGTATTGAGGTTCATATATCAGCACTATTTTAAGACAGCCTTTTTTATTATTCCTGCTTCATTTTCTAGAGATGTACGATTACAGTAGATTATTTCACAAAGGTACCAAACGAAAAGCATTTAGAGCCAAGCGGTGTGTTTTTTCCTTAATACAAAAAGGAGACTCAGAGAGAGAAACCCTTAGGATAAGTAAGCTAATGGTAAACATAAACAGGAGACTTAATATTTATTCTACTCAGAGTTGCTGAATGGTTTAGCAAATCCTTTGTGGGCCGTTTACGCTCAACAGTTCTGCACAGTACACTTGAGCTAAATTACATAACAGTTTATACAACCATGATGGCAAATTGTAACCAAGGCTGTCAAGGTCCATCTATTAGTCCATGCCAGATTTTTGCAGCATGCTGCTTCTTAACTGAAACTTACATGGATGTAAAAATTTGGTGTTGTCAATAAGTCATAAGTTGGTTTTGTTCTTAACAATTTTTGAGAGGTTCCTGACAGTTTGAGGCAGGGGTTTAACTTCATCTTATGGCTGTTGCCTTTTCCTGGTTTCCTTTGCATAAAGACAAGATCAGTTCCTAGAGAGATTCCCTCCTCCCTTGGTAATTGAAAGCTCTCTCCTCTTAATGATCCATGCAGACTCCCTCAGCTCCTCTGAATTACAAATACTCGTGCCCTACTCTGCTCCATTAACATTAAAGAGAGGTAGATTGGTGGCTATTTAGGGCACAGTGAAAATCACTGCTATTTAGGGCAAATTAAAATGGTGCTAATTATGGTTGCCAGGAATGCTCAATTATGTGGGCAATATAGTACCGGTAGTTCTATTTTGGTGCTAGCTTGACAGTGTATAAAAACAGAATTATTGTTTGGAAAGAGACTCTGATATCCATTTCAGTTCACGGTTAACCTGCATGTTTTAAAGGGAGGGAGCATATTGTTGCCTTTTCAAGGATTAAACCAAGAGATTTATTTGGAGGCACCAAACAAGGGAGGCTGCACTGACTACATTTCTTTCTTTCTATTTTGCTGAGGATATTCAGACATGGACAAGAATTATACCGCAAATAATACTGTCAAATACTCTTGGTTTTGGGTAGTGAACCACAGAAGTCTATTGACACTGAGCCTCGATTTTGGCTCCTTGTTTATCAGAAACACTGTCTAGAGCAGCCTTTCTCAACCTGTGGGTCCCCAGATGTTGTTGAACTACAACTCCCATCACCCCTAGCTAGTAAGGCCAGAGCTCAAGGCTGATGGGAGTTGTAGTCCAGCAAACATCTGGGGACCCACAGGTTGAGAACCACTGGTCTAGAGCACGAGCCATATGAGAAGCTCCCTGCAACAGCAAGGAACTGGTAGTTCACAGAAGAGAGACTTTTATAAAAGGGAAGTAGGCTAGAGATCCAGTTCAGTACATCGGAAGTGTGCTGTCTGAAATATTTGATGCAAATATTGCACAGAAGACAGATTCTGGGAAATGGGAAGGATTACCGTATTTTTCCGTCTATAAGACACCCCCATGTAGAAGACGCCCCTATTTTGGGGGCAACAACCAATTGCCAGCACACCCTCAGCACTATCTGTGTATAAGAACACTCCCTAATTTTTGACATTATTTTTTTTGGGGGGGGAAACCTAGTCTTATACACAGAAAAATACGGTATCTATGTTTTATGCCATCTGAGCTGAACATTAGCCTAAGCCTTTGAAAGACAATGGTGAACTACACAAGCACTCTAAAATAACAGTGGCTATTAGGACAATGAAACGTGACTATTCTTAATTGTTTTTCAGAAAGGCCCCGATCTGTCCTTATAATTTAAAAGTGACTGATAGTCGCAATAAGACAACCATGGTCAGTTATGTCTCTGACACTCTGTCAAATGCAAATGGCTGGATGGTTCTTCTTTTGGATCAGGAGACTTATATTCTGTCATTCGACAACCCTCT